GGGGTATGTGGAATAAAAGAAATCCTTTCTCTCACCTAAATTCATAACTGGAAGTGCAGAGCTACTGATGGAATCCCCAATGTCCTGCAAAGATAGTTTGTGTTGAAAATGCTGGTGTCTGTACCATTGTTTAAATGGTTATGATTTTTAAGTTGTAATTGACAGAATAAGTTCAGTAATTTACAGTAAATGTTGCTCTATCAACATATTTTTCTTAATATTTGCCTTTTTTTTGTTTTGTTTTTTTTTTGCTGATTTGCTAGAGGAACTTCATCTATCTCTTTTTACCCTTTGCCAAAACTCCTGTTTTTAAGTCTTGGTATCAGCTACTGAAACGAACAGTCAGGTATCACATGGAACATGCATTCATTCATAGAAAAAGCATAATAACTCAGTAGAAAATTATTTCAGTTGTTTTCAGTGTTTTAGATGTATTCTAGAGAAGTACTGCTGTGCGGCATCAGTTAGAAATGGGAGTAACATTTATCACTGAAGAACTGTTTAATAAAGGTTTCTGTATGTAAGCTTGGGTTTTGTCTGTAGTTAGAGATAAATACTGAACAGGGCGCATCTACTGGTGACTCTCCTTTTTTTAATCTGCTATCATACTCTATATACAGGTAAAAATGATCTGAATAAATACATGTTTTAAAATACAAGGATGTGTAGCAAATTCCTGTCTAAACACAGAGCCAAGTTCATAATGTAAATATATTGCAGAAAATTCCTGCTGTTTTAGCAATTTGGCAAGTTTTTTTGATCCTACCTTCTACATTTTGTGTTAAGTACTGAAATTTTAATCTTAAATTGTGTTCTTTTCAACTTTCATGGCTTAATTTAATCTGCCTTATGGAAAATAATAGTGTAATGTTTATTAAGACATCTCCTCTAACCAAACTCTTGCACCCAAACACAAAACTCTAATGAAACTCAGATTCAGATATAATCTTCTGTTCTAATAGTAATCAAAACCATCATCTAAGCATGTCGTTGCCATAGTGCAAGTCTGTCTTGGCTATTGTTTCTTGTATCCATGGCTCTTTCTTTGATCTGAAAGGCAATTTAAATTGGAATGATAGTGTGGTGAGCTGCTGGTCTTGTGATCTTTGTCCAAAACATGGAATAATGCTGGTTTTGGCTGGGATGGATTTAATGTTCTCCATAGTACTGAGTATGGGGCTATATTTCAGATTTGTGCTGGGAACTGTTGATAACACAGGGAGTCCCTGCTGAGCAGGGCTTACACAGAGCCAAGGCCTTTTCTGCCTCTCACCCCACTCCACCAGCAAGGAGACTGGGGGTGCACAAGGTGTTGGGAGGTGACACAGCCAGGACAGCTGACCCTAACTGACCCAAGGTACATTCCAGACCATAAAGTGTCATGCTCAGCATATAAAGATGGGCGAAGATGATCAAAGTGTTTGACAAAGGGAGGCGTTTGCCTCCCCATGTCATTGTTACATGTGGTGGAGTCTGACTTTCCTGGAGAAGGCTGAATACCTGTCTTCCCACGGGAGGTGGGGAATGAATTCCTTGGTTTGCTTTTCTTGCATGCACAGCTTTTGCTTTAGCTATTAAACTGTCTTTATTTCAATCCACAAGTTTTCTCACTTTTATGCTTCTTGATTCTCTCCACCATCCTGACATGGATGGAGTGAGTGAGCAGCTGGGGTTGCTGGCTGGGCTTAAATCACAACATATGATCAGCAATATTGAATAGTGGTTATTAGAAGGTTTTATTCTTTACTTTTTTTCTCCTGTTGCTGTGATTTTGAAAGGATTCATATCTATGCTATTCTTTTTCCTTCTCTTCACAACTATTACTGTAAAAGCCATATTCAGTTCTCTCTGTGGGTTGTTCTACCCTAGAAAATGGTCTCCTTTAAAATCAACGTTATTTCCATAGGTTTAGAAAGGAAATAATAGATGTAGTAAGTAATTTAGCTGTCTAGAATTTCCCTGTTCAAACGGCAATATTGTGTAAAGAATCACCAACCAATCATTTCAACTTCATGGATTTTCGGTATCTTGCTTGAAATCTTGCACATTACTAGTTGAAAAAAATCAAGATAACACAAACACCCACACCCTGAAGAAAAAAACACAGCAAAACAAGAACATCCCCCCCGCCATCAATACACCCTTTTAGTTTAAGCCACTGCTTGAAAAATTGAAGATCATATTATCTTGATAATTGACTAATGTGCTTTAGAAGTTCATAGAGAAACAAACAGAACAACAAACATATAGGGAGTGTTGGTTTTGTCTTTTGAGTACCAACCTGCCTATTTCTGTATTGTCACAACTGTCATGGTAAAAGCTGTCCTCAGTGAGGTATACAGATGCTATGCAAGTTGATGGGATAGCGTCTATGAATTTAAGCTTCCTAATTCTTAACATTTAATTAAAAAGTAAAAACTTAGAATACTTCACCAAAGTAAAATTAGCCCCACTTGTATTACGTGAAAAGTAAAACAACATCACACGATAAGAAAAGAAGCTTGTTTTCCTCTGAAAGCTCAGGGGAGTTCTTTAGTGAAAGCAGCTTTGCCCTGCTGCTGCTCCGTGGTTTTAGCTTGTTCTGATGTTCACGACAGTGCAAAGCAGCCCATGACTCATGAGCAATCAGCAGAAATGAGGAAGAACAGAAATAGCTGCCATTGCAGAGAAACAGACTGGAAGTTAAAATAGAGACCACCTAGTTATCACAGATCATAAAGAAAAGCAGCATCCATGCATCTCCTTGTGGTCATGCCTCATCCTAGGATTTTTACCTCTCTGTTCCTTTTATACTCAACAGGAATACAGATGGCTACTGGAGTCAAATTGTATTATCAAGAGGAAGCTTGTTGGTGTTTAGAGTTGTGGAGGTGCTTGAAGTAATATGGACAGGACTTCAAAGTCTGGCTGTTTTGCTTCTCCTGATGCTTTCAGCCTTGTCTTTAATCATTATGTGTAAGGGGTGAAGTTTGTGACTCAGTGCTTCTTCTCTGGTTAGATATATGTCAGGAAGAGTGAAACTTCTCTCTCCTCTAAATATATCTCTGTGGTAGGTAATCAAAGTGTTGTAGTCTGAGTTTGGGAAGTCTATGGGGTTGAGAGGTAATGCTTTATGGGTAGGCTGCTTAAGATTAATGGTTGGAAGATCCTTAGTATTCTGAAAGTTCCTACGACCTTTATTCTGAAAGGTGCCTTCCAGATGAAAACCATCTCTGTCTGTATGCTTTCTGTGGCATGAAGAGGAAGACAGCCCTTCTCCTTGTCTAAGGTTTGGTAGCTTCAATCTGCGAGCCTACGTCTTCTGTGGGGAATGACATCTGAGTCTGAACTCTGTAGCTTGACAGGGGATAAACGTGCTTGGTGGTGGTGCAAATCTGATAATACCTGCTTCTGTTGTGGGCAGTTTCTTGAGGAAATACAAAACAAGTTTGCGAAATTGAGTCCCACATCAATTTTTGTTTCTCGGAGGCAGTTTCTGTTGAATTCTTGGTAAAGTAATGTAATAACATTGGGAGAGACTGGAAAATACATCCAGGTACAGCACCATTCTTCCTAGGAATTGCAGGATATAAGCAGGAGGGACAAAACAAGCCCACAAAACTGCTAGAAATACAGTAATGCTTGTTTTAGCTAACAGGACTGGAAAATTGATTCTAACTTTTTTTCTACTGATATTGTATCCTGCCTCAATAATGTAGCGCTGTCTTCAGGCAACTTTTGTAGTGAATATACTGTGCTTGCTTTCAAGGGTGTGTTGAGTTGAAATTAAAAAGCAAATTACAATCAGAAACAAAGTAACTTTAGATTGATGATTTGTAAGCTCCAAAGGTCAAATGAAATGTGTTTTATCTTGATTGTGGTAAAAGACAGTTAAGTGCTTTGGTCCTCAGTTATTGAGGATTACATATTCAAGTCTATCCATTGACTTTAAAAATATATTAATAAGAAAATTATTCCATATTAGAATAGCAAAATTTACTGACGTTCATGTTTCTAGTGCTGTCTTTTCAGAAAAATATTATAATTGAAAAATAGTAAATCTTATGTCTTAAACTTGTCGGTATCTTCATTTAGAAAACCTTTGTCATTGATTCAGCTTAAGAATCTCAGATGTTTTAAGCCAGAAAACAAAAGCCTGCCTCTTCTTGAGAAAAATAGAAAAGAGCTTGCATATTAGCTGTATTCTTACCCATTCTATATCAAAATGTCTGAATTTTCTTTGCTTCTAAGAGCTAGTTTTTATTGTTACTCATTAAATAATCCATCAAGCCATCTGGCACGTACAAAAGGAAAAAGAAATTTAGGCTTTTGATTAGTAACAGTAGAAAATCCCCAAACCCTGCAGCTGAGCCTATGTTTTATGCAATTTTTATAAACTTTAGTGACTCTAAACTTCCAACGCTTAACTGTTGTATACTATTTTAAAGAGTTTGATTATTGCTCTCATCTTGTTTGATCAGTTTAACTATTGCCACGTCTGTATAGAAGAAAAGATGAGTTGTGAGGGCCTGTTGTATTGGGCAAAATGGACGCACTGGTGAGCAGCAGGTAACTGACAGGGAGGTGTGTGTGCACCAATTGGTGCTTGAACTGGTGTTATCAACTGGAGTTCAAATGCAGAATCCCTTTAATATTTTTACAGCAACATGAAAACCTGTGCCTAGATCATGCATGCTATTTTATTTGGATTGATGGCTTATTTGATGGAATAATTCATCTTTAGAAATGGATTTACTGTGGTACATAGTAGTTGAGCAGGATTTGGAATGAGCCACTCAATGTGGATAGCTGCTGTGCCCTCTCACCTCACTTTAAAATGCCCAGGCCCGTGGCTTGCTCTGGCATTAGGGGGAAGGTCTGGCTCTCAGCAGAAATGCTCCATTGACTTGTAGCTGCTTATGTCGTAGTACTTTGACCTGCAAAGCCTGTGACCCCAGATTCCAGCTGTTTACTCAGCAGAGAGGAGTCACTGCTCCTGCCACAGTTGTATTCTTTGAAGTACTTGAGGTAAACAGATGGAGGGGATCTTTTGGCAGCCTCCAGCAGCTGGTGATGCCTGCTGCTATGGTGAACTCATTGTGAAGAAAAGAGATAAAGCTGTGGAGAATGTCAACCTCCTGCTTGTCAATTGTCATGTATCTCCTATTACAAAAGATGAAAATGGAAACGAGTAAGCAGAATGGCTTGAAAACACAGGGAACCAGGGATTGGCACTGAAGATTAGGGAAGCCTGAGGTCTGATATCCAGTGGTGTTGCACTTCTTAAAATAGATGAATCAGACTCCTGGTAGATGGGAAATTGATTTTTCAATGTAGCTGTTAAAGTGTGGGGTCAAAGCAAAGACGGGCAGTGGTGTTAGAAATTTGGGTGAGGACATTAGGTGTTTGGGTGAGGGGGTCACAGGGGTGCCATTGATAATGGAGGACATATGGAGGGAGAGAGGTGACAGAAGAGAGAGACGTTAGGATTATATAGGGATACTGGAAAAATGTGAGAGAGGTCCCCAGGAGAGAACCAAATCAGCATTTATGAGACCCTGTGGTAGCCCCAGGACCCTGTACACTCCGTGGCTGACCTGCCCAACTCCTATCCTAGACAGTGTAGCCTCCCTCTTGGGACAGGGAAACCATGTCAGGAACCACTGCCCTAACATACTGAAGGTCCCTTCTGGGCTGCACCACTTCTGCCGCTGAACACTGAAGCCATGTAGTTTGGACAAGTTGTGCCTACACCTGTGATGAAAATGTTTAGATATATGAGCCCATCTGTGGCAGTCAGTCAAGAGACAGTATCTGAAACTGAAGGAGCCTTGAAAGTTGTCTTTGAAGTGTGCTCAGTTTAGTAAAGCAATGAAAGTGTCCTAATAAAAAACACAGTTTAATTATCTAGGGAGTGTGTAATGTTTTATATTCATGCTCTTTTCTGTAGTTTTTTTAAAATTCTAATTCCTTACCCTTCTTTAATGCTGCATATTATAAATCTGCCAAATTCACATACTGATCTCACACTGCTTTTTAGGTGTATAGTGAGGGAGTTTAGTTTCCCATTTGTTTCTTCTCCTCCTCTTCTTTCTCTTCTTTGTCCTATCCCATTTTTCCCATGCAACTTTGCAGCATCAAATTCAGAGGAGGGAGAGGAAACAAGGTACAACTGGAAATGTTGCCTGTGTGTGCATGCCAAGACAGCTCATTGGGTATTTGAGCTCCTTAGCTAGGAAAACCTTCTTTAAAACAAGAAATATAAACAGCTGAAATTCACAGTTAAATATAATTTTGCAAAATACGGATGTATTAATTTGAAACTTAAAGTCTTTTTTTTTTTACATTATCATGTTATGCTGGTACCAATAACACTGGCAGTGCAGAAATTAAAGATTGTTAAAAAACCAAAAAGCAAAATCAACTGGTGGAAGAACATGCTGTGGTAGTGAATAGTATTTTACCACCACCTTGAAGTACACCTCTCTTTAAATACTTCCTTTGGACAATTCCTGTTGTTCTACTAAGTAGTCCATATTTTGAGGTGAGGATTTTAAGCTTATGCAGATTCTCAAACAATTTGTGTTTGTAGGATAAGCAGTAGTCATTAAGGAGTAGCGCAGCTTTCTGAGCTGTTATAAATGTACCTAACTAGTAGCTGCACAGTGTAACAAAAATCATTTGACAGTACTGAGGACATAAGTGCTGCTGCAGTTACTATTTTCTATAATAGATATGGTCATTACTTGATCACACAGCACAGTAGCTGTCACAAGCCATTTTTCCTGTTAGGAGGACTGTAATTTTTCTCTTTTATAGTTTGTATTTCAGTGCATTAGTGTGCTGACCATGGTGACAGTGACTGAGTTAATTTTTTTGCTTTCTTTTATAGTAGATTTGGTATAGAACATGAAAGTGATTAAAATGACCAAAATAAAAAAATGAAAGTGAGAAAAAGTTCAGTTTTTCCTTTTTCTCTCTGGTTGCTTTGACTGCTTTCTGTTATTTATTAGAAGTTTAGACAGCTTAGTGACTGTTTTTCAGGCACTTTTTTCTGAGTAGTGGAGAGATTGCAGCATTTATGGGATGATGAATGAGTTGTGGGTCTTCTAGGGAGTCTCCACATGTTCATGTGGACTACCTTTTGCTATAAAGAACTTTCTGCAATGGCAGTTATTGCTTAAAACATCCTCTATGTGTATTGTGTCCTGAACACATACGACCTTTGTTCTTGAAAGGAGAGTTCTCTGAAGAAGAGCTGGGGGTTGGGAATCTCCACATTCTTAGTTCCACGATGTTGCCACCAGGTGATTGCCTCAGTGAAACCTATGTTGGCTCTATGTGAATTCCACATCTTTGTGGACTTCCTCATTAATTTCTCTGGTGTCTTGACCACTTTGTTTCACTACAACTTTTTTCTGTGCTGCTTATAACTTTTGTGACTTTAAAATGTTATTTAATGCTAAATTTGGCAAACATCTCTTGGCACTGATGTTCTGCAACCTGATGGGTCTGTAAGGGACGAAAGTTATGAAATAGGAATGTTCTTGCATTGCCGCCTGTGGCCTTCATTGACACAGAAATAACTAAAGCTGGTGTACTGCGGTGCCTGGGGAGAACATGATGACAAGTGAGATGAAAGTGGTATCTGATCTGTTGTAGCAAATGGCATCAAGTCAATTATAAGGTATTTCTTGTCTGATGAGGCTTGCTAGTAGCATAAGCTGGTGAATCTAGTGTCCTTGTCCCAAAAAGATTAGTGAGATTTGAATGAGTCAGGTGTCCTGGTGCTGGCAGAATTTAAGTTATGCTGAATTTTTATCAGAGTAAATGAGTTTCTGATGATATGGCCTGCTTAAAACACTTTTATGAAAAGGTCTGCAAGCTAATTTTTACTGGATATTAATCTTATTGATGTGTTTTAGGAATTACATTTTAATACATCTAATTACTTTTAAGGAAGTTTGAAGCATATACCCTGTGACTAGGAAAAAACCTGTAAGAAATCTCATTTTCTTTTATACAGACTGCATCAAAATCAAAGATGAAGAAGAAAACAACTAAAACCCAAGAAGCCAAAAAAATTTTGAAGAAGAAATTTAAAGTTAACACAAAAATAGTCTTTACTGAAGATGGAGAGGTAAGATCAATTAAAAATAACTGTATTTTGGTGGGAACTGAATTTGTAGTTTCTAGAAAGTCAAAAATATACTTTGTATCTGTATAAAAAGATAAGCTTTTAAAAAATATATGTTTTTTGTAATTGGCTTAAATTTTGCGGAAGTTTTCAGCTTCCATTTAGAATTCAGTTTCTTTGGGAAAAAAAGGAATGTTGAGCACTGACCTCTTTTCCTCTTTGTATGTGTAAGATACTTGTATGAGAGCTGTAAGTGGTGGTAGAGAACCGTATCTCTTTTCTGCCTATTATCTTCAATTTCAGGTGGAACCAAGAGCTGTTTTTTTCCTTACAGAAATGTAAAACAATTTTCCTGTAGCTATTTGCTAAAACACCCCCAGGTCTTGATTTAATGTACTGGAATTAAAAGAAGTCTCTGGTTTTTTTTCCAGCATTCAGTATTTCTAGATTAAAAGTTTTGTTAGGAAGGCTGAGGAAGTACCAAATTTGGCCTACTAGTGCTGATGTAGCAGTACCTGGAAATTTGCCAGTTATTTAATTGGATCTTTTAATAGACCCTGGAAAAATGTATTGATTTTATACTGAAAGGAACTATTGTAGATGCTACTCCCTCTAGGTTTCCCTGTGTCAATAACCTCACTAGCAAGTATCCACGCTCCATAAACTTTTCTAACATTTGATTTCACAGCTTCAGATGCTGTGTATGTTGTTTTTCCATTTCCAACATTAAGATAAAAAATAAGTTCTCTTTTTTTTTATTCTACTTCAGAATAATTTCAGTAAGACATAACCTGAAAGAGAGGTCATCTTCACAAGTAAATAATTTGCTTTTGTGATTAAATAAAATAAAACATTTTATATTGCAGGTGAAGGGAGTGTAGCCATATACATAATTACTGACATTAGATAGAATTTAAAAGCTTTTAGAGGTTGTCCCGTTGACTGGAAATTATAATTTCAGATATTTTTAGATATTCAGAATCTGTTGTCTCATCTGAAAATTCATATGCAATGTTTTATGTATCTATGCAACAAAGCAAAAAGGAGTAGGGATGGAGGAAGAAAAATTATCACAAAGATTATAGTTTGAAAATCAGCACAATATAAAAGGGATGACTTATTTAAGGAGACAAAAGGTGGGCATCTATGGATGTTGTTCTAGCTGGGTTTTTTTTCTGAGCTGTGCTTTGAAATTTTACTGTTCTATTCCACATACTTCTCTTCCATAAAATAAAAGTGCTTTAAGAAATGTATCTTTCTAGAAAATATAATTACACAAACTCAATTTTGTGAAAGGAAGTGGAAACAGTGTGTTGGGTTGGTCACTACCTGGTGAATAACTCTCTGTGTGCATTAGGGAGTCCTAAATGTGTTTGATTTTGCATTTGTACTGAAAGGCATACTATATTTTCTGCCACATAGTTTCTTTTTAAGAGTTATTACCCTACCAATCCATAAGCAAGAATGATTTTGCAAGGACTGTCCCTTGAAAATGTGTGCTCAAGGTATAAGCTATTAGGTCACAAGATAGATGGGGGTATTTTGCTGAATGTGAGTCTTTGTCTTAACTTCAGAGTTTCAGATATTTAAGGGAAGCTGAATGTGTTCAGTATGTCATCCATCAAACATTTCATCAGCATGAATCATCAAACATTTCCAATATAGTTTTCATACAAAAATCAAAAAAACCCTCCATGCCTGTTCTCCTTGCTTTACGCAAAACATAAACCTGCAAAACATAAACCTGTTTTTTTTTGTGTACTGTGATAAAGGCTTACTTCATTTTTGTCTCAGTTAATATGTTGGAATATTGGTTGTTTACATGAAAGGTACTGTTTAGATTTAATCCTGTTCTTTTCTGTTGATGTATTTTGGAGAATCGTTTCTTGAAAGAAAATACATTTCTTCTCCCAAAACAACTAGGAGGATTAGAAATTATTTGTTCCATTCAGCAAAGAGAGAAAATTAGGGGATGAAGTTAAACTGAATGCCTTAAACAGTAACGTGATACAGTGGAGACACTATTTTCAGATACTAATTTTGGACTGAATGTGATGTTAAATAAGGTATCTGAATTTCTATTGTCCAAAAGTTTTGTTAATCTGTTTCTTTTGCAAATGGCCTTTTTATTTAGTCTAGAAAAAAATGTATTGGAATATTTAGGGCGTCAAAAGTGTGATGTGGAAAAAATGATTTTAACCATTATTTTTCTTGTTGACACGTCTAATTCAGCTAGTGCAGCAGTGGCCACCTGTGCAAAAATCCAGTTTGGCGAAAGCAGATGAGGAAGACGATGCCACTGGTATCAACTTAGATAAAGCGAAAGAAATACTGCGTGAAGAAGACAAATTTGACAAAGAAGAATACAGGAAGAAAATAAAGGAAAAACATAGGGTAAGTTGATTTCTACCTCAGTTACTGAAGTGCGGAAATACTGTGCTGTGGATTGCTCACTGTGGAAAAATACTTAAATACATTGTAAAATAAGTGCAGTACAAGTTCATTTAAATTCATCAGGTTTTTTCAGGACTACATTGCATATAGGAAGACTGTTTTGATGTAAGTAACTGGATAGCACAAAGCCTTACTCAATACTAGTTGTTGGCTGCAGTGGAGTTTTATTTAAAACTTTAAAATCTGTTAAAAGTTTAGTGGGAGTGTCTTTTTTTTTTTTAAGCAGTGTTCAGTGAAAGGGTTTGTTTCACAGAAAGAAAGTATTGTTTGGGATATGTGCTCTAACAACGCTGAAAGTGAAAGAGTGTCTCTGAGATGTCTTCAGACTACCATTTGCTCAACATTCAGTATAACATTTCAGCTAGGCAAAAATGCTAACTTTTTTTTATTGGTTTTATTAGGGCTGTCAGAATTTATTTAGTGAATTACTCAAATAATGTCATATAATTTTAGCTGTAACTTGAAAGCATAATTATCTGCAGTCTGACTTCTCTCTGGCATTTAAAAACCTTTAAGTTGCAGACCATAAGTTTTCAAAATTGCTTCTGTATTATTTGTTATGGACCAAAGCAGAGTTTTCTGACCTTGCTGTGTAACTGTCATGTGGAATACAGCTGCATGTCTTTGAGTTCAGGGATCGTTCCCTTAGTCCTTGTGAGATGGATATGGAATTCTCCAGATAACAGACAAATGTGAGATCCCAGGACTATATTTTCTGCCACATAGTTAAAGGCCTGATTTATGCTTAAAGCTTCGAATTTTCAAAGCATTGAAAAGCATTGGTTTATTGCCCTGCTCTGCAAATGCTGATTTTATCCAGTTTGAATTTTTCCACTGATTACTAGTAGTTATTGATACATCTCCTAGTGTTTGTAAAGGTTTGTATTTGAAGAAAATAATTTGGAAGGGATTTGTGAAGGCTTCAAGTTGCCTTTTGGCACATATTCCAGCTAAAGTCAAAGCATACTTAACGCATTTAATTTGAAAGTCTACTCCTGTAGTCCTGTTTCACTCCTTTGACAAACAGAAAAAAATCTCACCTCTTCTTTAGCAACGTGTTGCATTTGAAAGTAGGTGCAAAGAAATCATGTTTTCTGTCCTAGAAGTGAAATCATAGTCAAGTTTACAGAAAGCAATGCTATCAGATTTCAAGAATGTGGCTTAATAAGCAAGGAAGGAGAGAGTGATTCTATGACTTTGCAACCAACCTGTTATTCACTAGCAAATTCATAAACTTTGAGTGACACTGTATGTTTGACATCAGATTTCAATGATAAAATACTTCATCACTTGGTCTGTTAAGACACCTTCGTTGTGACAATGCCAAGGAGAACAAATGACGTTAATCAGATATTTACTTGCATCCAAAAAAATATTTCATCTGTGGAGATAGTATAAAAAGAGAATGCCTCTTTTCAAAAGTGAGGCAAAATGAACAGGACTGGCCACACCAATGTCACGGGGTTTTTTTGTAATTATGGAAAGTGTTGTGTATCAAGTTTCTTGTAGCCTACCTTACTGCAAGAGTGTTTTTCACATTATACCTAATTATTATCCTTTATGAAATTAAATAAAAGAAAGGAATGGTAGTATGTAAAAAAAGAAGGAAATATTAAAATTAAAAAGACTTCTGATTGAGGTCCTTTGAAATGATTGTTTAATATTTAGGGCTGCCAGTCAGTTATTGCATGCACAGTCAGATTTCTTATTTGAGGCTTTACGATTTGAGGTGAGGAATACTTCATATGGTAGTCATCCATTATGTCTGGGATTCTTGACAGTCAGCTGTTGCTGCTTAGGAAATAGCTGTAATAGTAATTATTGGGAAAATAATGCTGAGCCCTGCTCTTTTGTCTCATGCGTGCAGAGACAAGTACTACCTCCTTTCTTCTGGGTCATGTTAAGCTGGTTCAGTGATTAGATCCCTTCTTCCAGTGATCCATGAAGAAGTTACATTGCTACTAGGTGGAACAGATACTATTCTATTTTTTTCTTAAAAGAAAATGTGTAATTAGTAAAATTCACGCTATAGGGAGAAGTTCTGTGGCATAATATAGAAGTCATAGAAATTTTTTTGCCATTTCAGCCACTGTTTTTTCACTAATACGTTTTTGGAATTTATTGAATTATTAATGGGACAAGTCATCAGTCCTTCATTAACAAAAGAATTCCGGGGGAAAATTTGAACTGCCTCAGGGCAAAAGGGAGTCTGTGGCCACTTTCATAGTGACTTCCCAGTGGTATTTAAAAATTCTCCCACCTCATAAGGCTTCCCTTCCCAAAAGATAAGAATCACTCAGCAGCAGATACTAGTTGAGTTTGAATCTTTGACTTGATCTCAGTGATGTGAAGAACTACCACAGTCTGTGTATTATGACTGTACTGCAGAAGCCTGATCAGATGCCTGATCATTGTCTGAATTTGCTAGTAAAAGTTTGATTGTATAAGTAAGCCTGAGAGGCAAGTAGTGTAAATTATCTCTTACCTTCAATTGGAGGGAGAGGGTGAAATGTAGAAGACAAATATTCAAGTGTATTACCAACCAAGGATATGAGAGCAACAAAAATACTAGGAGACTTTATTTTCATGACTTCAGATTTTCTGTAAGTGCAGATGTCTTAGTGCCCTTCTTGTGTGATTGAAAGAGGAGCTTTTCAAAGTCACAAACATCTTATGCATCCCCCTCACTGGCATTCAGCAGTACCTGTTATATGAAGTCTTAAATCCATCACTTGGGACTGTCACTGCTTCTTTTAAAATCCTCCATGCTACACCATGAGCCAAAATACATCATGGCATAACACAGACTGTGTTGTCTGACCTGTCCTTTCTGCACTAATGTTAATTATTTCATTCCCATCTTCCTTTAAATTTCCTTCCTGCAAGCAGATGTCAAATGGACAAAGATCTACAGCATTATGTTCTAAGAGCAGGTGTGACAACTCTCTGTTACTTGGTTTTCCACCTCGGTTACTGAATTCTCCTACAACTCTTCTTCCTAGCTTTTTGAAAAAGCCATGGCTAAATTTTTCCGCTCTGCTTTTCCTTCAGATTTGTTCAAGATCTTTGTTTAACATTTTCATCTATTTAACTTTCTTCTATTCCTTCACTTCCATCAAGTTTCAAATGTATCTTAATTAATATTTCTTCCTCTTAATTCCTTGTCTTCCTACTGCAGCTGATGTTGGTGTAGTTTCCTGGTGCGTATATTTGGCAGTTGGTTTTTTTCTTTAAATCAATTTTTGAAACATGGTAAATTTATTAAAGTTATTACATAAATAGATTAGGAGACCACTAGAGAGAAATGTGTTTTTGTTCTGTGTAAACCAAATGTAGAAGTCTGGTACATGGTTAGGTACATCAGGAATCGAAAAGTCCCCTGAACCTGGAAGTGTGCGCAAATACCCGAAGACTCTACCTTGGCTTTAATAACTTAGACTTAGAATAGTGGTGACTTAGAATAACAAAATAGTTTACAGAAGGCTATAAAAGCAGATGTTATGTCATCCAGCTTCTTTATGTCTTGCAAATGGGTTCAGATTGTAATTTAGATTGTGATTGGATGTAGAAAAAACAGTGTTTTTATAAAGCTTGTAATTTTACAGGTAATTTTCAATTTAGAATCTCTCTCTTATGGTTTCTTCAGTATAATCTTGAAGATTAGAAATCTCTGGGGGAAAAAGGGAACTTCTTAAAATTGAAACTTGCACAAAATAGCTTTTTTGTTTTGGTGAACATGGCCTGTAAGCTCATTATGAACTTTCCTTGTGAAATGGTTTCTGATGAAGAACAAAACTATTCAGAAAGTATGCACAGGCCATTGCTTTTAAATCCATTTGTGAATGTCATTTAAATGATCACAGTTTTCCATATGATCAGAAAAATGTTTTGGTGCATTCGTGAGATGCTTGGATGAGTTGTGTGTTGCAGTGCTTTAGGGCTTGTGGCAACTTGCAAAGCATCTACACTATAATTGGGTTTCCTTCATGAGTCTCACATTTTGTTTCCCTCTCCTTTCTCTGCAAATTGAAAATCAGATGGATAAAAATAAATAAAAATCTGAGGTATAATTGTGGTGTAATTAATGCCTATTGAATTTTTGGAAACAAAGTAAATTTTGGTAGTTGAGCACAAGGAAAGGACAGTGTCACTGATCAAGATGGTGTGAAAAGAATTCTGCATTAATGGTTATTTAATGACAGCCAGCGAGAGGTACAGATTTAAGATCCTTTGAAATGTGAAAAATGTTATAAACAACAATAAAGGGAAAAGTGAACAAACTATATTCCAAAAATGTTTTTGCACTCCATTTTTCAAGTTTTCAACTGAAAATGCACTGTTGTTAAGAGGAAAACAGTGGCAGAGAGGGATTCATCTCACTTCTTAATAATGTCTTTCTCTATACTAACTCAAGTTCAGGCACATGCCCATTGGTGCTGAAGGAAAAATGAATAGGAGTCTTATTTCTTACCTCTCTTTCCCACAAGTAAGATATGCTGTGAATGTTGGATAGTCAATATGATAAGATGGCTAGAAGTGGTTTTGTTTAAATTTTGTTTTATTTGGGTGGTATTAGTAGCAAACAAGCTGAGACTGTCTTCATGGGCCTGATACTGCAAGATGCACTAGTTCTGTACCTTCCTGGGAGACATTAAACAAGTGTGTTTATAGAGGTATGACTCAGACTTTAGATGACAGGAGGGGCTATTCAGAAGATCCTGCACTGTAAGCATTGTACCAGAAGTCTGTATTTTAACTGTAATACATACTTTGCATTTTTGAGACTCCTTGCAGAATCTTGCAGTGATATTGATGTTGGGGGGTGGAACCTGGACATATTTCGTGGCCCCTTGTGTAATGGTCCTAATTTGTACTGCCTGAAGTTTGCAGTTATATGCTCTTGTGGTTTTGCTTGTGCTGTTCTTAATTCAGTAGAAAAT